CCCAACTAAAACAAAGGAGATTAATCCTGCACATTCGTTGTTCACTCACCTATAAGACTTTTTTTTCTTTGCTATCTGTATTCTTCTCTGTCCAGGTGTCGATTATCCTCTTCAATGTCGATCCCAGCCAGTCATATTTCCATCGCTGGTTGAAATATCCTTTGCTTCCACTTTAATCCCAACTTTACGAGTTCCTTCTGTTAGTGTTGTTTTTTTGTTCATAACAAGTCACAGTCTTCTGTAACCTCTTTGGTGCTTTCCGCGTGGTATTCTCGCTTTCCGTTAAGAGGTTTTTTGGGTTGTAGCGGCCCTGCTTTTTGTTAGATATGAGCTTCTTGAAAAGCTCAGAAGAAATCCGATTTCTAGCGCCCTCTTTTTCTCTCCGGTTCAATTTTAAGCACTCTGTTTTAGGAACTTTTCCATTAAACTGCTAGACGATCACTAACGGGAAAAAGTACACGGTAATCAAGTTACCTTGTCTGTCTAAGCGTAACTACCTGTATGATTTGCAGCTTCTTCGACTCACCCATTTTTTTCATTTTTGATAATCCCGCTGTCCCACTGAGATATTGCCACTTTTAACGAATTATAGAAACTAGTAAGGTATCACCGGGATACTACATCTTTGTAGTCGATCAAAGGTGACTCACAATTTCAAAATAGATGACTGTAGATATTGAATTATAACTGTGTTTGATATAAATTAAGGTAGACTGGAATAAATATTGGAGAATCTTGAAAGAGCAGCCTTCTTCCACGATATTGAATGTTAAAACCGCGTTGAGGAGATTTTGAAAACTTTAAAAAATTTTAAACTTTAAATTGGTTTTCTGGTTAAAATAAATAATGAAAGTTTGTAGAATTTTATTGAAGTAAATTTGTCAAGTAAGTTACGTTGTTTATTGGAAAGAATTTACAGTCAAAAAAGAGCTTCGACAATCTTTTTCTTAATGTTTCTTCGCTTCTCTTTTGCAAAAGGCAAATTTTCGACTGACGTCAAACGAGAAGAACTCCAATTATAGTTCAAACATCCAGAATCACTTAACATTGGGGGAAGTTTGTAAAGGACAAATTTCTAGCAGTGGATCTTCATTCGAAAAAAATCAGAAGGAAAATTCTTGGTTGGAAATTGATAAAGGAATCAGTAACATTAAAAGAAACTATGGATAAAACTCAGGCGAATGGTCATCAGCATGACTTCAAGAACACCTTACTCAGTCGAGTTCATCACACTTTCTCTCCACTTTTCCTACCTTTTTATAAAAAGTTTCAAATTTGCAGTTGAAAGAAATATTTGCAAAAAACATTGATGATCCCGCTTTACGAGGAGAAGCATGGAGGCTCTGTTCAAAATATATTGGTGGACTTTGGAAAGCAATTTCTGCTGATGATATAGTCATCAGAGTCCAGACGTATGCATACAAAATAAATAGATTTTTGTTTAAGGACTCTTGTTTCTTCCTGTATCTAACAAGCTTTTTAGTGGAGGTATGAACAACTTTATTTTTATCGTTTCCGTGACCGAAAGTTTTCGAAAAGCTAGTGAGGAACCCACTGCAGTTATACTTAGGATTTATTTTTCTGAGGACATTGAGTGCACGCTGGTAGACTCAATTATTAGCGTTATTCTCTCGGAAAGGTAAAAGGTTTATTTGATTTCTAGCATCAGAATATCATTTTAAAGTTGGTGTTTCACTATAAAGTTAAGCCTAAGACAGAGATTTCTGGTTTTAGGGGAATAGGACCGGCTGTTTTAGGAGTATTTCCCGGGGGAAGGATAGAAGAATACATTCCATCACGAATTATCACAAATGAAGAGCTGTGTAACATCCAGTAATATTTTAGTTGTTTCTGGTAGTTTTCAGGTGCTTTACTAATTGTGAGTAGAAATGCGGGGGCTAAATGATTTACTTTAAATTAGACACTTTAATCGAAATACAATATAATTCAATTTCCAGTGTCGGATATGAAGTGGGAAAAATCCTAGCTACAGTCCACTCATTGAACGTCGCAATTTCGAAGGAAAATCGACTTGATACTGTGGTAGACGAAATGGTCAGTCGTCTACGTAGTTCATCAAAGTGGAAAAAATCACACAAAATGCGTACTACCTTAACGAAATGGGAAGAAAACTTGGTTAGTTACTGGCTGACGCCGCGTCATTTAACTTGTGAAAGTCTCGACGACTACCTTCCTCTTGCTTCTCAGAAAAGTTCAATTTTTCCAGTTCCCTTCAAAAATAACGGTGGACCTTCTCGCTGAAGAGTATGAATTAGCAAAGAGATGTGCGGCTCATAGCGGAAGCCCAGTTGTTTTTACTAACAATGATCTCCATGTAAAGTTTTTACTGTACAGCTTTAAAATAAAAAA